AATATATCAACCAGAACCTCTCTGTTCTCGAATCAAACTTTTGCGTTTTGCAACAATGTCCGGTAAACAGAAAATGTTGAGTTTTTGTTTAACTGTCTGTTAACTTGGCAGAAATTTACCTTGTTGTCAGCTCAACTGGACAATTAATATTTGTTGTGTTAAACGAATCAATTCAACGTGCGGCTAGGTAAACTAGTTTTTACGAGAAACAGTAAACACTAAAAAAGAATTATGAGACGAAGCGTATGCCTTCAAACTGAACTCTACGAGTCTTGCTCGCTGAACGTGTAAAACTAAACAAATCCAAGAAATCTTGGAAGGAAAACCGGAAAATAATTCAACAAGTGTTATTTCACTTCAATTCATTTTTAAGAGGTGAATGAACCCGTTCAAGTTTCTCATGTTTCTTGATTGAATTTTTGCTCTTTCCGAGTCACAGTTCCTGTCGCAGGTCGCAGCATGTCATATTGATCACATTTGCTTTTCGAGAAGTTTATTACCTCTGGTTTATATTATTTTATTACAGGATTCTTCCGGATAGGACTTGAACCAAACCGAGCGAAAGATGAGTTTGAAGATTATTTGGCTTGTCTCGTGTATCATTCCACACTTGGTGTTTTCCTCCAACCAGTCGGTAAGTTTTCATCTTCACAATGTTGAATTTCAACAAATCAATGCGGTTTCACTCGCAAGTTTGTTTTACTCGCGAAAAATTCAGCTCCCCAGTAATTACGTGAACGAACTGTCTTTTCTTAGTCTTAGTCTTGTTTCATTTTCCTTGTCTGGCATTACATTTTCAGTCGCCAGTGAGTTCACAGCGATTTTGTTATTAAAGAATGCAACGACTAAGAGGTGAAAAATTCGAAAGAAACGGTATTGGTTTTTTTTTTTCCAGCGAACAATTTAAATTAGCCTCCACAATAACCTTCCCAGGCCATACTCTGTTTTTCATTGCTTTCGTCATGTACCCGAGCAAATGTTCCTGTTACCAAAGCATTTCTACTCTAGTAGCGTCTCGGCACCGAAACAAGTGAAAGAACTATTCTGAGACCCGTGCCAATAAAGGAGATTTATCAGTCACCAAGCATTGAAGTCAAACCTAAGTTTGCCGCCTTTCTTCTTTTCCCGTTATCAGGTAAAATCCCAGTCCCCGCCGACCTTGAGCTGTACTGTCAGCGGCTGCAGTGGTGTACCGGGAGCTCCCGGGGCCAAGGGAGACCAAGGACCTGTGGGAACACCCGGTAAAATGGGACCGAAGGGCTCTCAAGGGCCCAAAGGCGAGCAGGGTACCCAGGCCCCTCAGAGAAACTGGAAACAATGTGCGTGGAAGAATCTCAATGATGGGAGAGACTATGGGCTGATTAAGGTAAGAGACTTTATTAACAATAATTATAAAAAAGTGCTCGCTGATTAGTTTCCCCTAATATTTATGACAAGAAAATCAGAGTCTGGCTACGTGGCGTCAAGTTTGTTTTTAACCAGGTAATAAAAAGATAAGCATCAGCGTTTTCTATCAAATTAAGATATAAATTTACTTCCGGCTTGTAGGAGTGCATTTTTACCAAGCACGCCCAGGATACAGCCTTGAAAGTGGAGTTCAATGGTGACTACAGAATAGCTTACTGCCTGGATTGCTGTAAGCGATGGTACTTCACCTTTGATGGTGCTGAGTGTAAAGGTCCACTCACCATTGATGGTCTTGTCCTTATTTATCGAAACAACGGCAAAACGGACACCAATATACACAAAACAACTTATATTGGAGGATACTGCCAGGGACTTTCCAAGGGAACCATTAAAGTGGGAATAAAAGTCGGAGACTGCCCGGGGAAGAAATCGGGGTCTGATGCTTATACCGGGTGGAACTCCGTAACTCGTATCATGATCGAGGAGGTCAATGCACCCCAGAAGTAGCTTGGAAGCAAAACAGAAAGATAGAAGGCCTTAACCTGCTTCTTAATTTTGTTGTTATCATTATCATATGGTACACATTAGATGCGGGATATTAGTGTATTAACAGCGATTAAAAAGATTAATTTTGAAGCATTAGCGATTTGTGTGTTTATTGTTGAAACTACAGCAGAGAGGTATCAAGTGCCCGATCCCTGAATTCCTTCGAATACGCTAAATTTACTTGGAAAATCCATGAAGCGGCGTATGCACCGCTTACGATTTGGTTTCCGTTTGTGAGAGTAATCCTACTCAAAGAACCTCAAAGGGCTCTTAAGATCTTAGGAATTCATAAACCAAAAGATAGCTCGAGTATTGAAACCCCTTACACTGAAAGTTAGCTCACTTTTGATGGACATTTAAAAAAATTCTGTGGAAATCACAAGACATCAAATGATCATTTTTCAGTATTTGGATTTAAGGTCATTCCCCAGTATTGCATTGCGCATCCTTACTGCGCATAATTTATGGCGATATTAACGCGCTTCGTGCACGCGCACATTGAAAACATGGCGGATATGCCTTAATATTGAATTCTATCGGTTGAAAAATGGCTATAGCTCACTAACGAGCTCGGGCACCCCAAATCTTTTTCCAGTCATTTTAATCAACTAATCATTAGCTCTGCGTGAGAAAAGACTGATTTGATTTCTATTGTTGAAAATTGAATAAATAAGAAAAATAGCAGTGCACTATGGTCTTTTCTGTTTTGCAGTTTGATAGCCGTGGCAAGCAATTTGGTTCCAATATTTTAACAAGGATTCAGCTGTCTGTCAGAATCAAACTTAAAAAGTTTATTTGTGTCCGACACAAGTATTGACTGTAGTTTGAGGCGTGTTTTCATGAGTTTGGGCTCACAAAGAGTTTACAATAACTTGGAGTACGTTCTTGTAATAAGCATTAAGTAACGCTAAAATGGGACATTTAATGCCTCACTGCTCCTTAACGAGCATGGGCACCCCCCTTTTTTATTTTACAATGAAAGTTCTCATATGATAAATATTCACTGGACAAAGTTTGAACGAAAATCTACGCGAAGTTTTATTTCAGGGGAATTACCTTAAATAGAAGTCTGCGTGACGTAGGAAATGTGTCCGGGATTGACAACGTTTTGGAAGATTTCTCGTAGTTAACGCCTGGTTTGCCCCTAATTCCTAAAAAAAGTTTCCATAGTATCAGGCATTATTTATTTTGGACTAGAGGTGAGAAGTATTGTCCAATCGCTGCTTTTTATTAGTTTAGTTATAAGTAGAACCTAATAAAATAACGTGAATTTACAAAAGTAAATGACTGCCTTTCGATAAAATTTCACTTTTGTAGCTAATCCCCAAATAAGTGACCCCCCAAAAGTAAGAGCCCTTTAAAAGCAGTGCCTTCAAACAAAACTTGCCTTGTTGTTAAAAAGACAATGGAAATGAAAACAAGTCATACAGAATGCTACACACAAGGGAAACAGTGAGTTTTGTTTCCCGAGACCCACAATGTTGGTTTCTTCGGTTAGGATTAGAGCCGGATGTAAGCGCCAAGTCATTTTGAAAAAGATGACATGGCGTTAGAGGGCCAAAGTAAAATACCTTTTTTTATCGCTTTATTAGAGGCCGGTAAAATAAGTCAGTTACATTCTAGGATCTCAGGTCAGCCTCGTTCTAGACCAGAAATCAAACCAACTGTAGACTGCGCGTGATCTGTTTCTTTTCCTAGCGTGCAATAAACGATCGAGCGGTGAGAAGCGCGGGCGTTCGAGAGCAAGAAAAAGAGAAAGACCTTCGCAGTCTTCGTAGTCGGTTTTTCCTGCCTCTTTCCACTCCCTCCGCTTTCCTTCCCAGTCTAATTTGCGTAATCTAAACTCAGTCCCGAGCGCGGGGAATCCCAAGAACAAAAACCAACTTCTCGTAGATTGTACGTAAACTTGAAATATCCAGCCAACAAAATCGAGCAATTCAAATTATGCTAGCTTAAATGAATATTCTTTTGAGCCATGCAACCAAATAAGAAACAGAAAAGGGCCGCGGGGTATTTCTCCTTTTCATTTACGACGCACAAATACCCAGCCAACAAAATCGAGAAATTCAAATTATAATAGACAATGTTAGCTTACACGAATATTCTTTTGAGCCATGCAACGAAATGAGAGACAATAGAGGGCGGAATTTCTCCTTAAGTTAACAACGCGCACAGGGCAAAGAAAGTTTCACCCTACACCGATGAAAAGAGAATGGCCGCCTTGTCCGCACAACGGTACGTCTGCTCATGCAAACGCTTGCTTGACTCACCCAATGAATTGATCTTCAATAAATCGCGTCGTTTCGTTTCTCAGAGGTCTTTGTGATAGGATTTCTTATTGAGATTTTATTAAACAAATAAATTAATAGAATGTAGTAAATAAATTTAATTAGAATGTTTTGATGTCGCTTATTCAATAGTTCATTCATTAATTCAAGTAGAGTTTTAGTGAAGGTAACACCGTGACAGAAAACAATTAAACAGTACTGACTTGATGTAAATTTGTTGGCTGGCAATAAAAGGAATTATAAATAACGAGGATACTAAAGATTGATGAATATATAACTTCCCCTTATAATGTGATCCATTATCAGGTTTATAGGTCATGCGAGTCAAGCAAATGATCACAAACAAGGCGTTGCGTTGATAGTAAAATAAATTATCCTAACTAATTTATAGAAAAATGTTTGGAGTGCAGTAAAGAGAACACAAAAGACAAATCAAGGTTTTAGTATTCAAATATTTATGAATTTATAGAGGAAATTTACTAGTTTCTTTATACAAAATTTAAGTTCTTTCTTTTAATGCATGCATCAATGTATGCTTTTGAAGCAGTTTACGGCTACACGGCAAAACATTAACCTCGAGCCAAATCAGCTCAGATAATCTCGAATCAAATTCTTGCGTTTTGCAGGAATGACTGGTAGACACAAAATGCAAAATGTTGGGTTTTTGTTCATCTGTCTGTAAAACCAGGCTAATATTTACCTTGTTGTCAGCTCAACTGGACAATAAATATTTGTTGTGTTTAAACGAATCAGTGGGGGGTAGTGAACTAGTTTTTACGAGAAACAGTATACACAACAAAAAAGAATTATGTGAAGCGTAGGAGCTGTTTAGAGTCTAGAGTTGAAGCTTCAAACGCTGAATATTATTTTAATCTGAGCTTTTTTAAGTCTCTGACCCCAAGAAATCTAGGAAGGAAGCTTGGGAATAATTTAACTGAAGCTAATTCGGTAAACGGTTTTTTAGTTCAATCGATTCAGACGGTGAATGAATCTGTTTTTCTCTCGGTTAAGTTTCTGTACTGCGACTATGGTTGCGAACTTCGATTCTCGTCGAAAATTTCAAATTTTATATTGATCACATCACGAATCTGACCGACAGTTTTGTTTTCGTGGAGCTGATTGCTTATGCCTCATTATTGTTTTTCTAATTTACAGGATTCTTCCCGACTACTTTGGACCTGACGTAAACCAAGCGAAAGATGAGTTTGAAGATTATTTGGCTTGTCTCGTGTATCATTCCACAACTGGTGTTTTCCACCCACCAGTCGGTAGGGTTTTTACCTCACAAGTTTGTCCTTTCAGCAAATCAACGATTTGGATTTTGTCAGCGCCCGGTATTAATTTGAAGTCAACGAGGGAACAAGATGCTTTCGTTATGAATCATGGCAGTCCCCTCTTTGAGTCTTACTTAATTCGCGGCTTCGCTCGCTCGTTTGGCTCGTATCTCTCAGTTGCGATTCGCCGACATTCTTCAAAATCCTGCCGACTAGAGAGTGAAAAATACAAAGAGGAATACACCTGATCCCATTCGAAGAAGACTGTATCGGTTTTTTCATTTGATTTTTTAAACGACCTCTACAATCGCAGTGTAATTAACCGCCTGACACAAACCCTTTTCTGATTATGGCTGTCCTTGTGGAGCAAAGTTCGTAATTCCTGTGTTAGTTCGTCTGGATATGGAAACGAATGAATCTGTCAGGGCTGTCTTTTCAGTTCAAAATGCGGCATTTTCAGAGGTACACAATGAACTAATGTGCCATAATTCGTTCGGGACCATCTCGGCCAGGACGTTTCTAACAAATTACTCAAATTCGGCTTTTACAGAGGAAAAATAAAAGCTTTTATATTTCCGCAGGAGTCCCTCCGGGTCAGTGGTTTTTTAATGTCCTTAGGCAAGCTGTCAAACAAGCGCGCTGCGCAGTCCTGAAACATGCCAGGGAACTGAGGCACTACCACATTAAGTTCTGACGAAGATCTTAAGTTCCATATCAGTGTTCGGACGTCTAATCTTTAATAGATAGGATGGCCATTCCTTGTTATGAAGTGCCTTACATAAATATTTTAATCCTTTTCCCCGCATACTTCCTTGTAACCAAGGATTAAAATAAATTCAAAATTTGTCAATCTTCTTTTATCTCCGCAGATCTCCGCAGATCTCAAGCTGCCCAGTTAGTGGCGTCCCAGGTGTCCCCGGAGTGCACGTGTTGAGTGGAAGAGATGGGACCAAGGGGGAACAAGGACCTGTGAGAGCCCCGATAAAAGGGGACCTCAGGGCCTGAAGGGTCCAAAGGAAGTCAAGGGCCAGTGGGACCACCTGGAAAGTTGGGCCATAAAGGAACCCAGGGCGACAAGGGGGAAAAGGGCCTCTCGGGTGTGGTTCCTCATAGGATCTGGAAACAATGCACTTGGAAACAATTGGAAGATGGCAAGGACAAGGGATTGATAAAAGTTGATGTCTTGTGATTTTTACCTAGAAATGTTATCACAGTAGTTTTTTACGTTCTTCTTTCTAATGCCTTAGAAGGACTACGTCTTCGTTAAAAAAGACCAAGACACAGCCTTGAGAGTGGAGTTCGATGGCGATTTAAGAGTAGCTTATTGTAACCACTGCTGTAAGCGTTGGTATTTCACCTTCAATGGCGTGGAATGTTCTAACCCAACCACTATCGAAGCGATCGATGCGATTTTGCAGAACCATGGCAGAACAGACACCAACCTACACAAGCACAGTCAGATCGGGGGGTACTGTGAGGGGATTGGTAAAGGCACCGTACGCGTGGGATTGGTGGTTGGCGATTGTCCTGGTTTCAAGAGCGGTTCTGACGCGTATGCTGGGCACAAATCCGTGACCCGAATCATGATCGAGGAAGTCCCTAAGCCACAGTAGTTGAACAACACAGTGAGCTGTGAAGGAAAACGAAGCTTAAGCCCTTCATAGCTTAGTTTGCGTGCGCTGATTTGAACTGTAGTAGATAAAGTTACATTTTTTGGGAAACTAAAACGTGTAAACTAAAACTAAAGTGTAAAGGGTGGTGATGGCATGCTTTAAAATGGCTCGATAAAGTGCTCCGAAAAAGAACTTTTGACCGCCTGTTAATGATTCTTAGAGCGTTACAGCAGCAGCATACATTCATAATTATTGATAAAACAGAGACCTTGAGGCATCAATATAGTTCCAGTGCACTCTGTTCCTGCCCTTTTTATTGTGTCAATTTTTTGACTGGTTAGAGACAACCGAAGAAGTGGTCACGAGAAATCGTACAACAAGCTTTAAAAAAGATAATACTAGGAAGTGATGTAAGAATCAGAGAGACCTTATTAGGGTAAAATTCAACCTCGTTCTCAGGACTTTTCTTTTAGAAATTAGGAAAAGCCCTGCAAACAAGGTTGGGTAAAACAATAGCGTTGAAACAGCGGCATGAGAACTTTTTGGGACACGAGCAGGTTTTAAAGTCAAAAGGGGCTCTGTACGACCTCCTTAACAGGGCCAGACCAAATGCTCAATACCTTTTGTTTGCGTAGTATGTCAAACTATGGGCCGTTAAACTATTTATTGGGACTGTGGGATTCATTACTGCTTGGATGGAGAAAGACTGACTTCAGTCATTTTTGCTTATCACTAAAAGTACATCCGGTAGACAGTAGCAATGAAACTGGGGCGTAGCCAGGATTTTTTTGAAGGGAGGGTCAAACAGGGTGAAAGTGAGGGTACTCACCAGATTGTCATGTCGTTTTCGCCACCTGTTGTAGGTTGTTTGCTTAAAAAGGCTTACAAAAGGGGGGTCACAGGCACCCCAGGAACCCACCTAGCTACGCCTCTGTGAAAACACAAACTGCAATTGTGATATATTTTCACTGGGTTTCCAGAGAAACAATGCCCAGGGTATCATAAGATATGGGAGAATCAGCCTGCGGCGATTGGGAGCAAGCAGCTCCAGGCGAGGAGAGTGCTTCATCGCTGCCAGAAGGAGGGTGGGGCGAAGCAAAACGTTGGTCGTTGCTTTTTGAAAAGACTGAGCGAGGAGTGACGTGTGATGAGTGAGGGCTTTTATGCTGAATACGAGGTGTATTGTTAAATTGAAGAATGAGGGGAGCATAGTACGCGGGTCCCGCCAAAAAAAATATTATCAATGGTTTTTCAGCTAGGATTAGAGAGGTAAGGGAGCTGTGGCGTTAGAGAATAACTGAGAAAAATATCCTGTTTTTTATCGGTTTAATCACTGTTAGGAGCTGATGAAATTTTGAAATTTGTTTACCTTTTAGGAGCTCAGTTCAGCTTCAAACTAGTTAAAAAGAGCTACTTAAGACCAGAAATTTAAGTAAATGTTACAGCTACCTTGCGAAACGTTTTAAGTAAACTTGAAATATTCAGCTAACAGAATTGAGCAATTCCATTAGGCCATATCCGAATTACCTTTAGCCTCTTTCTCAAAGCGAGTCTTGGTGCGCACTTATCATATGGATATGAGATTTCATTCACGTTTTCATGTGAATGGTTGTGCACCAGGCCTCGCTTTGACAGAGAAACTTGGGGCTACTGGGAAATGGTCTACTATCTTAACTTACACGAATATTCTGTGTAAGCTCAGCAACGAAATGAGAAACGGAAAACGGCGGCATGTCTTGTTGTTTTTTTCAACACGCAAGCGGGAACGAATGAATACAAAGCTTATTTCTTCACCGATAAATAAAGAATAGGTCGCCCTGTCCACTTCATGTGACATTCCTGGCCCTTTCATGCTACAGAAACCGGCATAAGCACCGGCCTGATGAACCACTTGGCTGATATGCAAACTTTAACCACTATTAGGAGTTATTGAGCTAATGAAATTATTTACCTCTTAAGAACTCAGTTCAGCTTCAAACTATTTGAAAAGCGGAGCTACTTGAGACCAGAAATTTAAGCCAAGTATCACAGTTGCTTTCCGCAAATTTTTACGTAAACTTGAAATATTCAGCTAAGAGAATGGAGCAGTTCCATTAGGCCATTTCCGAATTACCTTTAGCCTCTTCCTCAAAGCGAGTCTTGGTGCCCCTCCTTTTATATGGATATGAGATTTATTTACATTTAGGCCTCGCTTTGATAGAGAGGCTTAGAGTAAGTCGGAAATGGGCTGTTATGTTAACTTACACGAATATTCTGTGGAAGCCCAGCAACGAAATTAGAAACAGAAAACGGGGGCATGTCTTGTTTTCTTTTAATACGCAAGGGGTAACGAATCAATGGAAAATTTATTTCTTCACCAATAAATAAAGAATGGGCCGCCTTGTCCGCCTCATGTTACATTGCTTCATGAGTCCTTTATGGAGACGTTTTTAATAATCGATTCGCACGCAGTTTAATCATCGCGATTTACGTTGATCTCACCTCAAAAAAACCTCTTCAAAGAATCTTATCATTTCGTTTCCTGGTTAAACCGGCCCTGAGAAAATCGTTCCCCTTCTCAGAAGTCTTTATAAAATGATTTCTTGTTGGAATTTCATTAATGTAGTAGTGACAGTTCACTCATTAATTCAAAAAGAATTTTAATGAAGGTAACGCCGTGACAGAAAACAAATGAATAGTACTAGCTTGAAGTAAATTTGGTGACTGGGAAAAAAAGGAATTGGAAATAACGAGGATGTTTAAGATTGATGAATATATAATTTCTCCTCATATTGTGATCCCATTATCAGGATTATATGTCATGAGGGTCAAGCAAACGATCACCAACGAAGCGTTGCGTTGATAGTAAAACAAATTCTGTTAACTAATTTATACAAATTTTGTGGAGTGCGGTAAAGAGAATATGAAAGATGAATCAAGATTAAGTTGTCAAATGTTTGTGAGTTTATGGAAGACATTTATTAGTTTCTTAACACAAAATGAAAGTTCTTACTTTGCATGCGTCAGCATATGCTTTTGAAGCAGCTTACTGCAGAGCAATACATTTGTAACCATGCACCAAATCTGAGATAATCTCAATCAAATCAAATTCTTGCGTTTTGCAGGAGTGTCTGGTAGCGTGACAGAAAATGTTGAGGTTTTGCTCATCTGTCTTGAAACCAGGCAAATATTTACTTTGTTGTCAGCTCAACTGGACAGTAAATATTTTTTTGTGTTAAACGAATCAGTGTGAGGCTAGATGAACTAGTTTTTACGAGAAACAGTAAACACTGAAAAAGAATTATGTGACGAAGCGTATGAGTTGTTTAGAGTCTAGAGTTAAAACTTCAAACTCTGAGTATTATTTTAATCTGAGCGGCTTTTAAAGTCTCCGACCCCAAGAACTCTTGGAAGCAAACTTGTCGATAATTTGAGGTGATTGGGTAAGAGGTTTTTTAGTTCAATCGACTCAAGGGGAGAACGAATGTTTTTCTGTCGGTTAAATTTCAGTCGGTATTGCGACTAAAGTTGCGAACTTCGATTATTATCATAAATTTCAAAATTTGTGTTGATCACATCACGAGTCCGACCAACATATTTGTTTTCGTGGAACTGATTGCTCAGTTTTGTGTTATTGTTTTCCTAGTTTACAGAATTCTTCCAGACTAAGTGGAGCTGGCGTAAACCAAGCGAAAGATGAGTTTGAGGATTATTTGGGTTGTCTCGTGTATCATTCCACAAGTGGTGTTTTCCACCAACCAGTCGGTAGGGTTTTTACTTCACAAGTTTGTCCTTTCAGAAAATCAATGTGGTTTTTGACTGGTCTCCTTTTCTCGCAAACGTAAAACACCTCGGTCCCTGATATTAAAGTCAACGATCATGATGCTTTCGTTCTGCATAAGTTCAGTCCCCTCTTTACTTTGGATCTTACTTCGCGGCTTCGCTCGTTTGGCTGGTATCTCTCAGTCGCGATTCGCAGATATTCTTCAAAAACCTGCCCATTGAAAACACAAAGAGGAATACACCTGATCCCATTCGAATAACACTGTATCGGTATTTTCAATTAATTATTTAAGCGACCTCTATAACTGCCCGACACAAACCTTGTTCTGATTTTGGCTGTCCGGCCTTGTCGAGCGAATGTTCGTAATTCCTGTGTTAGTCCGTCTGGATATGGAAACCAATAAAACTGTCGGGGCTGTCTTTTCAGTTCAAAATGCAGCATTTTTAGAAGCAAACAACGAGCTAATTTGCCAAAATTCATTTTGGACCATCTCGGCCACGAAGTCTCTAGCAAATAAGTATTTTAATATGAATTTTTCTAAATAGTTCAGACAAAGCCATATCTGTTTCTTTTTCCCAGCAGATATGTTTTAATTAACTCACTTTTCCTAGCATAATTCCTTGTAAACTTGAGGCTTTGAAGTGAAGACGAAGTTTGTTAATTATAATGTTTTTTTATCATTAGCTAAAGTCCCAGTCTCCGCAGATCTCAAGCTGCGCGGTCAGTGGCGTCCCAGGTGTCCCTGGAGTGCCCGGGCTCAGTGGAAGAGATGGGGCTAAGGGGGACCAAGGACTCGTAGGAGCCCCCGGTAAAATGGGACCTCAGGGTCCTGGAGGGTCCAGAGGAAGCCAAGGACCCGTGGGACCACCTGGAAAGATGGGCCCTAAAGGAACCCAAGGCGACAAAGGCGAAACAAGGCCGCTCGGCTGTGGTCCCTCAGAGGAACTGGAAACAGTGCGTCTGGAGCAAATTGAACGATGGCAGGGATTACGGCTTGATAAAGGTCAGTAATTTTATCTTTAGTTCAGGCTGATCTGATAGAGTGTGCTTTAAACTGTTTTTACGTGTGTTGTTAAGCAATTATTCCGGCTAAGCAGCAGTTTGTCGTTAATTGGAATTAGTAAATATTCAGATTTAAGCAAACCACATAACGTATACCAAATGCATCTGGTGGCCTGTTTTCCTCTTAATCCAGTAGAAAGCATAGTGCAAATACCTTCAATACCTTTAATTATCTCTCAATCTAGGATTGTGTCTTTGTGAAGAAAAACCAAGACACGGCATTGAAGGTGGAGTACGATGGAGATTTCCGGATTTGTTGTTGTGTACTTTGCTGCAAGCGTTGGTATTTCACCTTCAACAACGTGGAGTGTTCTAAACCAATTACTATCGAAGCGATCGAAGTTATTCATACGAATCACGGCAGAACAGACACCAACATACACAGGCACAGTCAGATCGGGGGGTACTGTGAGGGGATTGGTAAAGGCACCGTACGCGTGGGATTAGCGGTCGGAGATTGCCCAGGTTACAAAAGCGGTTCTGACGCGTCTACCGGATACAACTCAGTGGCTCGAATCATGATCGAGGAAGTCCCTAGGCCACAGTAGCTGAACAACACAGTGAGCTCTGAAGGAAAACGAAGCCTTTCATAGTTTACTTTACTTGGGCTGTTTTGAACTGTAGTAGATAAAGTTAAATTTTTGGCTAACTAAGAGCGGTGATGGCATGCTTTGAAATGGTTCAACAAAGTGCTTCGAAAGACGGAGAACTTTTGACCAGTTTATATCTTGTCATACATTTTTTTTCCTTGCCGGTTAAAACAACGACCTTGAAGAATCAATAGTTCCAGCGTACTCAACCCTCAGTGATACGAAAACAGGCAATATAGCCAGGAACCTATATACTTTTTGTTGCTGTTTTTGGAAGTGGTTAGGACAACCGAAGAACTGGTCATAAAAAATACTGTGACAAGCCCTCGATAGGAAAAATACTTCACACTAGCTAATCCCATTTTAAAAAGGTGGCTTTTTGGTGTATACGGTTTTTTCTTTGAGGCCAAAAATTAACCCTTGATACACGAAGGAAGTAGTATTTTTTCTCTCAAAAAAACCAAACTTGGTAGATGTCAACCAACAATTTATCAGCTAGTTTGTGAAAGCTATTAGAAGTTCATCACCGAGCAAAATATAGTAGAACCCCGGTAACTCGAACTCTAAAGGGAAACGAATAACAGTTCGAGTTTGCTGGGGTTCGAGTTATCGGGGTCGATTGAATATTCAACTTGCCATGTTAATAATTGATAGTTAACTGATTTTTCAGCACTTAGTATACAGTGACAGCTAAAGGCACCGCAGCCAGTATGACTCATAACATCGGGAAATGACTGTCAAAAATGCGAACGGTCGGTTGCACCAATTAAAATCAAATTGCTGTGGTGTTAGTTTCGAGCGTTTTTACCGATTACACGACACAAAAAGCTAATAGGATGACATCCCTTGTGAGTTACATGAAACAGAATTCGAGTTATCGGGGTAAATTTTTATCAAGGGAAACGAAATTTAGTTCGAGTTAGCGGGGAATTCGAGTTATCCGAATTCGAGTTAACCGAGTTAAAATGACTGAAAAGTGGGGTCAAATCCAAGGGAAATGGGACTTGGTTGGAGTTAGCGGGGGAGTTCGAGTTTATATCCGAGTTCGAGTTACCAGGGTTCTACTGTAAGTGTAAGATTTCAACTGAGATCGAACAAACATTTTTATAGTCAAGAAGGTATATTCCGGCATTTATCGTTTAAAATGCCTCAGCGGCTAATCAGAGAAACAAAGAACAGCTGACACCAACAAGTAAATGAAGGTCTAAAACGAAAAACAACAACAACAACAACAACANTGGCGTGGAATGTTCTAACCCAACCACTATCGAAGCGATCGATGCGATTTTGCAGAACCATGGCAGAACAGACACCAACCTACACAAGCACAGTCAGATCGGGGGGTACTGTGAGGGGATTGGTAAAGGCACCGTACGCGTGGGATTGGTGGTTGGCGATTGTCCTGGTTTCAAGAGCGGTTCTGACGCGTATGCTGGGCACAAATCCGTGACCCGAATCATGATCGAGGAAGTCCCTAAGCCACAGTAGCTGAACAACACAGTGATCTGTGATGGAAAACGGCTTTGCTAATTTAGTTTACGTACTCGCGCCGTTTTCAATTGTAGTAGACAAAGTTACATTTTTGGGGAACTAAAAACGTTTGCAAAAGAGCGGTGACGGCATGCTTTAAAATGATCCAATAAAGTACTTCGAGAAAGAACTTTTGACTGCCTGTTCATGATTCTTAGAGTGTTACAGCAGCAGCAGCATACATGGGTCTACATTCATAATTACTGAAAAACGGTGACCGTCAGGAATCAATATAGTTCCAGTGCTCTCTGTCATCATGATCAGATCACAGGCGATAACCTCTTCTACCTTTTGTTGCGTCAATTTTTTGAGTGGTTGGAACAACCAAAGAAGTGGTCATGAGAAATCGTAAAAGAAGCTTAAAAAAAGAAAATACTAAGAACTGATGGGAGAGTCAGAGAGGCCTTATTAGGGTAAAATT